TAACATGTTGTGGTATCTCCCTATTATACCGAGATTGAAAAGGTTATTTTCAAACGAAAAAGAAGCAAAGTTACTTTGTTGGCATTCAGAAGAACGTGAAACTGACAGAAAACTAAGACATGTTGAAGATTCACCTCAGTGGAGAAACATTGATAAGAAGTATCCTGAATTTGGAAAAGAGATGAGAAACATGCGGTTTGGGCTTAGTTCAGACGGGATCAATCCTTTTGGGAACATAAGCAGTCGTCACAGTATGTGGCCGGTTCTTTTATGCATTTACAATCTTACATCGTGGTTATGCATGAAACGGAAATACATTATGATGTCGGTGTTGATTCAGGGGTCGAGACAACCTGGTAACGATATTGATATGTATTTGTCTCCTTTGATTGATTACTTAAAAACTCTTTGGAGTTCGGGGGTAGACGTATATGATGCTTATAAGAAACAACACTTTCAATTGCGATACGGTAACTTGTCAGGATACAAAACAAAGGGTAAAAAGCTTGTCCAGTTTGTGAATATTATACAAGCTCGATATGGTTAAGAAATTGCAAAAAAACTGTATACATGGGACATCGAAGATTCCTTCCAAAGGGTCACCGTTTTAGGAAGAAAACTATTGAGTTTGACGAAAGTATTGAGATCAGAACGATGAGGAAACGATTTGATGCATTTTCACAAGTTGCAAGTATAAATGTTGTGTTAGGAAAAAGATTTCGTGTTGATAAAGATGCCCTTTGGAAAAAAAAAAAAGTCAATTTTTTTTAATTGCCTTACTGGAGACATTTGGATGTTAGACATTGTTTGGATGTTAGACATTGTCTAGATGTTATGCATATTGAAAAAAACGTATGTGAGAGCTTGATATGCTTATTATTAGGTATGATGCATAAAACTAGAGAGTTCAATATCCGAAAGGACATGGTCGAGATGGGGATACGTGAAGATCTTGCTCCCGAACAGAGTGCTAACCATGTTTATCTCCCAACTACTTGTTATACTACATCCAAAGAAGAAAAAATAAAGTTTTGTTAATGTTTAAATGATATTAAGGTTTCATCAACTTATTCTGCAAACATTAAAAGATTTGTGTCAATGAAAGACTGTAGATTGTTTGGAATGAAGTCTCATGATTGTCATGTTTTGATGACACATATGATTCCTATCGCAATTCGTGGAATTTTACAAGATGACGTCTGACATTCTATCACTAAGCTTTGCTTGTTTTTTAGTGGTCCTAAAACACATGAAATGTCTTACTCCATACATTAATGAACACATGGACATGTTGAAGTCGAAATACCCCGGCAAGGAACAAATGTGGTACATAAACAATTATAATAAAGAGTTTTCAAGGTGGCTGAAAAATAAGGTAGCAGAAACTAATGTTGATGAAACTGTGAAAAGATTGGGACATGGGCCAGATTGTAGATCTAAATCTTATGAAGGGTATGACATTAACGGGTATACCTTTTACACCAAAGATCAAGATCAAAAAAGTACAATGCAAAATAGTGGAGTTACAATGATAGCATCAACTACCGAATGCGACAGACGAAATCATGATACTTTGATAATAATAGCCAGAGATTCTTATTACGGTGTTATACAAAATATTTGGGAGTTGAACTATTTTGACTTCGTTATTCCCGTGTTCAAATGCAAGTGGGTGAATAACCGTACAGGTGTTCAAGTTGACAAAGATGGTTTTACACTCGTCGACCTTATAACTGATGGCTATGCATCTGAACCATTCGTTCTCGCAAAACATGTCACACAAGTTTTCTTTATCAAAGACTCGAGAAAACAAAAAGAGCACATCGTCTTACAAGGTAAACGACGTATTCTTGGTGTTGATAATGTCGTTGATGAGGAAGAATACGACCACTTTAATGATCTACCATCATTTTCGGTCGGTATTGAACCTGAGAATTACGATAATGTCGAACGCACAACATTCGTGCGATCTAACATTGAAGAGACATACGTTGATTAAGGGTGATGAATGGGGTTTTTCTTATGCATTTTTTATTATTGCAGTTACATTATTTTTGTATAAAATACTATCTATTGATAGAGTTATTACAATATTGTCCTTATCTTTTGATAATTACAATGTTTCTATATTACTACCCATTCATAGAATAATAATCTCGAACTAAATTAGAGTAGTTGTTTTAAGTAAATACAATGAATAACATTAAATATATACTTATGGTCTGCATTGGAGAACATTAAAATGTATCAAGAAGAGTGTAAAATTTTTACTTGTTCTGTTAATAAAATAGACAACTAAGAGTTTTACTCGTACTGTTAACAAAATAAACAAATACACTTTCAAAAAAAGGTAACATACGTATAACTTCAAAAACCGCCTCAACAAATCAAGAAACTGCCCTAAAATATATACAAAATAACTCTAAAAAATATTTATAACAACATCAAAAGATAAACAACATTAAAAAAAACAAAAAACATTAAAAAATCGTATAACCGCCTCAAAAGCACCAAAAGAATAGAAATAGCATCAAAAAATATAGTAACGCATCAAAAATTACCTCTATAAAAAATGCATCAAAAAATAGAAAAAAACATCAAAAGATTCAATAAATTATCAACCATTCGACCGAGAGGAAGACCATGATGGATAAAGAATAATAAACGTCTAAATTACCATTAAAAAAATAAAAAATGATTTTAATTCATTAAATAAATCAACTTACGTGCTCCTATTGAGTTTTATCAAATATTAATTACTAGCTCACATTAAATTTTAGGAGCTTGTGCCGTTTTTGTTTTATGTGAAAAATGATATGATTTTATATTTCTTACACCATTATAAAACATAAGCATCCATTTGGTTTCTGTTTGTTAAACTTTTGATCGTGGGTTACGAATACCTTGATATGTGTTTTTTATTTTTTTCACCTGTCTTTATAAGGCTTTCTTCCACTCTCTTCTATACACGTGGCAGAGGATTGTCTATTAATTTTACCGCATTGAAAAGTCATTTTTTCATTCGTTTTAATTGCTACCGCATTAAAAATCCCTTAATAGCATCAAAAGATAAATTAATAGTCCAGAAACCGCTTCCAAAAACCCTCCATAACCGCCACCAAATTCCACACAAATCGCATCATAAAACCTAAAACTGCCCCAAATCATCTATTTCCCTCTAAAATTTTCGTTTTAGCTTTCTAATATTTTCATTGCGCGCAAGCTCTTCTGTGGTCCATAGTCGAATTCGTAAACCATTCTTTCTGTAAAACATCCATAGTCGACCCTACATCAAACAACATTCACATCGCCACGCCGACCTCTATTCCGGCCGCCCCTGATGCCTAAATCACTCCACAAGCCTCGGTTTCAATACGTTGGCATTTTCGAGTTTCTTTGTTGAATAAGGTATATATATATATATATATATATATATATATATATATATATATATATATCGATTGTTGTCCTTTTATACTTTAGAAATCTTTAAGAATATGAGAAGATGACGATGAATCTTTAGAATATATGATAAGATGAACACGTGACTGTCTTTACAGTATAGTATTGATTTTCTTTTTGTCAAAAAGCGCTATTACTTTACGTTATACTTAGGAATCTTTTGAATATCTTTAGAATATGAGAAGAGAGTATCAGGAATCTTTAGAATATCTTTAGAATATAAGAAGAAACTATCTGATGTCTTATTCTGTTTAATAAATGTAATATTTGGCCCACATATATGGGGTCTACCAATTTCATTGGATCTATAACTTTTATGTTGGATTATGTTTTTGTTGTCTTGTAATATACTATTGTATTGGAATATTGTATTGGAATATGGTTTTTGTTGCTCTAGTGTTTATCACGTTTTAGTGTTTATCATGGATAAAATTATTTTTAATTTGTATGATGTTGTTAGGTTATAAAAATGGACGAGGTATGACCAATAACAAGAAAAAGAGGTCAACACGGTATTGTTGCATTCAAGATAAATTATCGTCCTGAAGAGTATAATGGTAAGTTCAATGAGAATAATATCCCAAATGGTGGCATGTCAACCCAACTTATGTCTTGGTTTGGCATGAATGTTCAACAAAGGTTTCCAATAGATGAAGATCTGGATAAAGTTAAAGATAAATATTTTGATGATTTATGGTTGGATACCAAGGTATTATATTTTAATTTATTACAAATATGAATAATTTGTTAGTTAATTATTATGTTTAACATTTTTTGTTTTGAAATTGTAGAAGCAGTGGAATATCGAGTTTGGTGACATGAAAGATTATATGAAGAGGAGAGCAGTGAAAGTTGCATCAACTTTTAAATCAATGCTAGTTTCAAATTTTGTCAATAAATAATTAAATGCATGTGCTATATATACCTTTATACCTCGCGATGTATGTGATAGATTTGTTGCACAAAAAACTACCCTTGAGTTTTTGGTATGTTTTAATTGTTTATTTATTATTATTATTATTGAAAATATTATTAGTATGTTTACAAATAATTAATAATATTTTGTTGATATGTGTGTAGGCAAAAAGTGCAAAAGCTAAAGAAAATAGTGCTAAAAAGAAATCCCAAAATCGCGTAGGACGAGGTGGATGGCCGGGTCTTGAAAGAAAAAACACATATTATATGGCCTCAACTTGTAGCAAAATATGAGTTTCTAGAATGTATACAAAATGAACGGTCTAAGTTGTATTTAATGTCTTTCGCAATAAAAGACAAAGAAACCAAGATGTATGATCTTCCACAAAAGACAATTGAAAATTTCAAAATTTTGGTAACAATTATGTTTTTTAAATAATGAGACTTTGATTATTTTTAGTAAATAAATGTTACCAAGTACGTTTTTATATAGGAACGAGAAGAGAAAAACATGATAGCTGATGGGAGTTATTATCAAAATGAGGAAGACCTGTTAGTTAGGCTTTTTGGGGCCCGAGCATGGGGGGCAATCATGGACGGTAACCAATATCATTGGGCCTACTATGGTTTCGGGTGAATTGTTTAAGAATGTGAAAAAAAGTCGAAACTCGATACCGCGGGTCGACACGAACCCAACATTCCGTGAATCTAATGGTGTGTCTGGTGGACGATTGGTATAATATCCACCTATTGAGGTAATATATTAATAGTTTTTATATAAACTTATATTAGATTTATAGTTTTTTTTGTATGATTTGCAGTTTATGACAGCATGTGATTTGCTATTAAAAGTTGCTGATACTGAGTTGAAAGTAGCTTCTGGTATGGCATGTCCAACCTCAAAAATGGTTATACATTCAAAACCAGTAAATGAAGGTTGTGTTAAAGTTCAAGTTGATGAGATCATAGAAATATATGAGAACTTGCATTTGCATGTAGTAACACAAATGGATGAAGTTGAATTTGTTAAACATTTGCTTCGTAGCATCGTTCAGTGGCCGAGATATGCATTAAAGGTATATTTCTATTTAAATACAAAAATATATTTTAATATAGTTTTATTTAAATATTACAATCTATTTAGCTTGCAAACAAAACCCCAAGAAGGTCAAATAATGGTACGAGAATGGGCTCGAATCACTCTTCTCCACAGGTACACGTTGATGACACCACACCTTCATTTTATCGTCCACAAGTAGTCGTAGTCGATTAGTTTTATTTGTTAATATTATAACAATTTGTTTGTTATTTTAGTTTGAGGAAAACCACTTTCCTTATCATCATCAAATGGATGTTAATGAGCATTTTCAAGGTGGTTTAATTTGATATGGTTAGTCTTAAAAAAACTTGTTTTATGTTTGTTTTTAGATGTTTAATGTTTATATACAATCATATGTACTGCTAATACTTTATGTTTGTTTTTAGATATTATCTATGAATCCACCACAAATTGATTTAAATGCACTAGGAGCCGGGCCCGGGCTAGAACGTGAACGCGATCCCGAACCCGAACCCGATCACAAAACCGAACCCGAATTCAAATCCGAATCTGAATCTGAACCCGAACCCGAACCATTTACATTTTTAGAACCTGCTCTTTATATACCCTTGAGCAAAGTACAACAAAAAGTCCTAAAATTCAAGCTATTGCTTTTCGAGTAGCAGACCTTTTTAAGAATGCACATAACACTTATACTTTTTTACCAAGAGGGATGTATCGTGACAAAGTTCGACTTCCCATCCTATATAGCGAGGTGTTACAACTATTTTTAAGGGGTTGGCTTAATTATAGTATTATACTTTTGTTTGCAATGTAAGTTATTATATATTTAATATGGTATAATAACATTTAGATATAATTAATTTTACTAACATTATGTAGTATATACAGGTGTTTTTCTAGGTCTCCCAATTCCGAATGCGCTTTTTTTGATCCGTTACGCATTGCAAGATTAGATACGCAAATAAGGATGATGGCTGTCGCCGAACATATCGAAGAAGTATTTCCATATCATAAAGGCAAAAAATATTTTCTTGCTCCATATTTACAGGGGTATTTTTTTTCTTCCATAATACGTGTATACACACTACACATATATGTTTATTTGTTCTATATATTTTATTTTTTGTAATAGAAAGATAAAAAAAACATATATGAATGGTTGAGATGTTTAAATAGATGTTAAAGATTAAACGGAAAAAAAAAAATTAAAATAAACAAATTATGACAGTTAGCAACGGTCAAAAGGCGTGACCAATCAAAATCATCCGAGAAACACTCCCTCCAAAGTTAGTAGTGCGGCCTCAGCCGCACCTGGACCGCACCCAGGGGACGGTGTTTGTGCTTATGTGGCATAAGGATGTGCGTCATCAGCTGCAACCACTCCGTCTAGTCTAAAACCAAATTATTCTTTTTAATGACCGGTTTTCCTTTAAGCGGCACAATAAAACTAAATTGGTTTTCCATAACTGATTCAACCGAACCACCAATTTAATATAGGTATTTAAATTAATCGAGAATTGTACCTTCAAAAAGAAAATAAACCAGCTTTTAAACCGAAAAAGAAAAGTAGTTATTTTTTTACAAAATTTCACTTTAAAAAAAATCACATCGATTATAATTGAAATCGATCTAAAGAAACCGATCTTTTTAAAACCGAATATTTGTGCGATACCTGGAACAACCACATACGTATGTTGTACACTTTTGAAACCCAATTAAATAAAGAGATTACCAGAAAACGTTGCTAGAAAGTTATGTTAAAACTTTTGGGGTACACCCACCACACCAAAATGTGGTGGTGACGTGGCCAGTATGAACACCGTCCCTAGCTGTGTGGAAAAGAGTTAGTGCGGTGTGGTGGTAGAATCATGCTCTCTCTCTCTCTCACACACACACACTAATAAGTGGTGATGTAAGTGTAGTAGTGTGTATCTTTGTAAAATTTGACAGAAAAAATCTCTCTCTCTCTCTCTCTCTCTCTCTCTCTCTCTCTCTCTCTCTCTCTCTCTCTCTCTCTCTCTCTCTCTCTCTCTCTCTCTCTCTCTCTCTCTCTCTCTCTTATTTAACAAGTGGTGATGTACAATAATGTAGTAGTGTGTATCTTTGTAAAATTTGAAGTGGAAAAAAAATGGTTTTTTACTTAATTTTTTGAAAACTGATTCTAAACCTATCAGAAACCAATTACATGGATTGTACTGTTTACCTCTAAAACCAACCGAATTTACCAAAAGTATTTTTTTACTATTCAAAATAAAACCGACTAAAACTAGATAAAGCCAATCGATGAATGTATACTTTTTATGCTTGTAAACGAACCAAACATTCAACAAACTATTCGGGTGGAAGTGTGTTTATTTACTAAATTAATGAACATGAACACAAATTCTTATTCATTTAGTTAAATGAATGAACATAAACAATAATATTGTTTGTTATTTTATGCTCATCAACGTTCGTTTATGTTGTCCATTTATGTTCATTTATATTCATTTGTTTAAGTTTATTTATGTTTATATATGATCAAGCGTTTTTATCATATTATTATATTATATGTTTATTTCTTGTTATATATGTTAAATTCTGGTTGTTTATCTTCATTTGTTTATGTTCGTTTCACATATTAACAAATATAAATAAACGAATATGAACAACATAATTTGTTAAACGAACGAATATGAACAAAAATCTCATTCATTTATACATTCATATTTGTTTGTTTGTTCGTCCAACTTAAACGAACAAACAAACATAGACAAATTATTGTTCGTGTTTGTTCGATTCATTAACAGTTCTAATACTTTTATTGGAAGACTTACTTAAGTGACGTCAATAGAGTACAAAATGTGTTTCGGTTGAAAGCTTGTTTCTTCCACCCATTTGAGATTTTGGCTAAAAACAAACCGAATGTTCATTGAATCATCCAGTATAACAAAAGTTTATCTATATTTGTTTACGTAATGAATGAATGAACAATATTTTTTATTCATATATTAGCAAACATGAAAAAGGAATAATGTTCTTGTTTAATTCATTTATGTTTATAAATATCTATTCATATATATTCATTGATTTTTGTTGACCCATAAACTTATTAATAGGCCGGCCGGTTTGAGAAGGTCAGGGAAAGGTTTATGGATGGGCCCAGCTCTACTTTTGTAGTTGAGAAGAATGTGGTGTGAGTCTTGTAAGTAATAACCGGGCTTTCAATATTCAATAATAAGATCGAGCCAGGACCAATGGACCATAAGGCTCCTTACGACTTTTTGGGTCAACTGTGCGTAAGAGTGGTTGGAAAAAGTTTAAAACTCCATTTTTTCAACTTTTTAAGACTAATTTTGTTACAATTATAGTGTCAACCGTTTACAATTATACATGACAATAACAATACTAGGACAAATTAGAAAAAAAAAATCAATATGAACAAAACAATCAATTGGTTAAATTATTATTACTTTCACAATACATGTGTTGTGGTTATATATTTTTTTCTATGTAACATTTTATTTTATTCATAATTCTTTATTTGATATTTTAATTATGTTTAATAAACAAAGATTTATTATTTCTTTGACTAATTAACTGTGCTATTTTAATTTTCAATATTAGATTGTCATATAATAATATTTTTATTTTTTTTATTTTTATAATTATATACAGAATATTTGTTTTTTTTTTTGAAAAATTGACACACACACACACACACACATATATATATATATATATATATATATATATATATATATATATATATGGTTAGGTTCATTTGAGACACCTATATTTTGTGAGACCGTGAGACGCATTTTTTTTTTTTTTTTTTTTTTAGTTAATTCATGTTCCGAAAATAATATTTAAAAAAAGAATTTTTTGATTTTTCTATTTATTTTGCATTTTAAAATTATTTTTAGAATATGTACAGTGTAATATTCTATTTAGAATATTTCACGTATTTTTCAAAAAAAATAATTTTTTTTAAAAAATTTTTTTTAGTTAATTCAAGTTCCGAAAATAATATTTAAAAAAACAAATTTTGGATTTTTCCATTTATTTTGCATTTTAAAATTATTTTTAGATTTGGTCTCACGGTCTCATAAAATTAGAATGGTCTCAAATGAACCTGAACCTATATATATATATATATATATATATATATATATATATATATATATATATATATATATAGAGAGAGAGAGAGAGAGAGATAGAGAAAAGTTCAATGGAAAACTATTATTATTCAAAGGAACCAATGAACCAATCTAAAATGTCAGAACTTAAAGCGAACAATGGCAAAACAAAAAGTTGTAGATTCTTACAATTAACACACATACACCTGATATTAAAAAAAAAACGAATATATCATTGTTCATGATTTTTCGTTCTCTTTTAATAGAATTCTATATTGACATACAAAACTAAAATAAAATAAAAAACTTACTTCATCTCTTTGTTTTTTTTTGTTTGAAGTTAAAGTCTATTTTTTACCGAAAAATTTAATAAATAAACCAAAATTCATATTTTCTGGTACTCATAGATTTATACTGATGTAAAAAACCGAATATATCATTATTCATGATTTTTCGTTCTCTTTCCATAGATATTCATATTGGTATACAAAAATTAAATTAAAAAAAATCGAAAACACTCAAAAAAACCAAATATATAATTGTTCATGATTTTTCGTTCTCTTTCCTTATAGATTTATATTGATATACAAAAATAAAATTAAAAAAATTAAAAAAAAAAAAAACTCACTTCAATTCTTTGTTTTTTTTTTTTAAAAGTTAAAGACCTATTTTTTACTGAAAAATATAATAAATATATCAATATTCACATTTTTTTGTTCCTTATAGATTTATATTGATGTAAAAAAACAAATATATCATTATTCATGATTTTTTGTTCTCTTTCCATAGGTATTCATCAACACCTAGGTCGGTAAACGAACCGAACAAACACAAACGATGCATGTTCATGTCCGTTCGTTTAAGTTAGCCGAACAAATAAACGACACACGAACGGATAAACGAACGAGTTTTCTTGTTCATGTTCGTTCGTTTAACAAATTACATTGTTCATATTCGTTCGTTTATGTTCGTGAACATGCAAAACGAACATAAATAAAAAAAGATTAAAAAAAAACATAATTGAAGATATATGAACATAAATGAATATATAATACACTAATGTAACCAAACACAATTAAGCATATATGAACATAAAATGAACTTATATGAATGAACATAAATGAATGTAAACATATAATATAAACGAACGTTTACGAACATAATTAAACGAACGAGATCATTGTTCATGTTCGTTCGTTTAA